GGCTGGGCTTTAATTACCACGGACTCATATGCTGGGCGACACCTGAAAGTATGCCATACAAATGAGAACTCATCTGCTTGATGCGTGTGTGTGTGTGGGTATGGGTGTGGGAGTGCTGGGAGCTGTGGGAGGGGCCCTGGTAAATTACCCCCCTAGTTTATCTCAGGGCCCAGAACGTCCCATGGTAACTGATATCTTTGTTTACTCAGCTGCCTTGTCAAATGTCTGGCAATGGGTTTTGTTTCTTTTCTGTTTTTGCCCTTGTTTGTCTTCCTTTTCTGTGTGAAAAATGCTTATGAGCGTGGGCGGGTGTCGGGCTAAAAGTCTGGCAAATTTTCGAGCTTAAGGCTATAAAAAATCCCCATTTAAAAGCGAAAATAATGTCTGAGCCGGCATAAAGTTCACACTACAAATTAGCGAAATCAATCTAATATTTTTTATTGAGTTCCCTAACTTTGCTTTGGGCGGTCAGCAGTATTTAAGGCTCACACAAACACACCTCAGCCCTTGGCCAAACATTTCTGAGGTCACTGTGAATTTGATGCTCCGGCCGGGCCAACTTTCGATGGGCAAAGGCAAAAGTTTTAAGTAGTGGCTTAAATTTTATATTTCTACCAAAATTCTAGCCTCGCTTCGTTCCGACTTTCTGCTGCCCGCTTGGCAAGTTTAAATGTTTGTCGAGAATTTTAATTCATTTATAAAATATGCCCGGCCTTCAGGGGTACTCCCAGCCCACTCTACTCTCTCTTGTGTGGATTAAGTGCAGTCGCTCGGTCGACTCTTAAATTAATGAAATTCTGTGTGTTTGAAGTGTAAGCTAGCCGTAAGCTTTTTGTCTCTACGCCAATTAGCAGGCTGGATGGAAACAGCTGCAAAACTAGCTGGGAACTAAGCGTAGGCAAAGTTGTGATGACGAATATGTGTGCGAAATTGCAGCTACTAGTGGTGGCTTGGGGTTTGCTGTTCAAGATCTTTTAGGGGTTTTTCTTTGAAATATGTGAAAATAAATCAAAAGGTTTTCGTAAAATGTCTGTTACCTAAATACTTTATGTTTCTTAAAAGATAGTAAGATTTACTTTCCTGAGAAGTTTGTTTAAACTTTGATGATGAACTCGGATCCCAAAAATATATTTTATTTTTAATTTTTAATTTTAATTTTAAATTTAAATAAAGAAACATATTATTTTAAATTGGTATTCGATCTGTTGTTACATTTTTATTTATCTAAAATAACAGTTGTGTCTGTAAAAGCAAAATATATACCTTTTCTTGTAGGGACTTAAAGAATGCTTTAATTATTTAATGCATAATAATTTTTAACTCACTTTATATGCTATTTCATATTGTTTTTCATAATTTCGGACTATTTTAACAATTCCTTCCTCCTACTTATCGGTTATTTGATACATTTCCTAAACTTTAAGTCAGTTTTTTCCCTCAGAAAGTAACCTCAAGGACCTCTCTGATCAGTTACTTCAATTACCAGTCTATTGTCTAACCTAATGTTTGTTCTCCTGCGGCCACCGATACTTGCACTCCTCTGAACAATTTAGTTTTGGCAACTTCGCCTTGCAGTCTTACTCTGGTCAAAAAGTTCAATGTTTTTGCTCGGGAACTTTTTAAATGCTTTCACGATACTTGGCTGTGTTTTCGGAGCCACCTCGGCAGCTACCTTTGGCCAAATCACATCGCCCAAGTTTTACTTACCTCCATTACTTTTATTTCTGCGGTCGCTGTGGCAACATCTTGAATTGAATTTATGCTGCTCGCACTTGTTACCCATAAGAAGACAAATCGATGAGCGTTGCTGTAGAAAAAGTGGATTCACATATATCCCAGAAGCTCTCTAGTGCAACGTTAACTTTTTTTCTGTGTACGATACATTCGCACGAATGCCATAATTTATTGAATTTGAACTTAAGAGGTGGCATTAATGTATTTGCCAGCTGCCAGAGCGGTTCTCATTTACCTTAAGCAATCGCAAGATGCAGTTGCAAAGGACGACTGGCGAGGTGTGGGGGTTAGTGGTGCATAATCCTTTGGAGTGACATGTCAGCGTTGGTTGGCTCAGATAGCGGCATTACCAGCACATGCAAATTGAAGGCTGGAGGGCACACTCCTTCTAATCCAATTTCAAATGCTTAATCCACCATGACTGACACTAAGAGCGAAGTTGAAAGATGGCCGACGGTGGCGGAAGTGGTGGGCCCGTGTGTGTGTGGTGTGTGTGCGTTTGAACCCAACATCTTTACGCACCAGGGCACTTCAAACACTCCGACTTGCTATTGAATTACGCACACTCACACATGTCAACATATCGTGTTACACTTCACTTTGTGTGTGCGCTAAGTAAGTTGTAGTTCGGTCGGCCAAGAGCGGAAGCGGAAATGCTCCTGCTGCTACTGCTGCTGATGCCATCCCACATAAAATCACAATGTTGACCCTTTTATTTCGACTGGAAGTTTTATAACCAAAAAGAAAAAAAAGAAAGCAGAATCGGGGCCACATACACGAAAATAAAGGAGCTCAAGCTGTGTGTTTGCTTAAGTTTTATGTGTGCACAGATTTTACGACCGAGCTGAACAACAGCACGTAGCTCAAGGCCCGGCTTAGTGGCCTCTGAACTTTGCCCGAGGTCAGCCGGTTATGGTATGCATTTTAAATGGGATTGCACTCCTCTCCATCGCCTTATTATCTCGGTGGGTATTCTGAAAAAAAAAGCATAAAAACCGCACCCGCAATAACCAAAATCCATCTGACAAGCTGGTTTGCTGAAAAATAAGAAAGCGATTCACTGAAATTCATTTAATTTCACTTAACTGGTAATTGATTTTTCATACTCTTACATGTAGAATGGGTGAAATTGTGATTTTTTCTTAACAAAGTATAGTTTTTACAGCAATTTATTGTACTTTGAAGGGAGCTTGATAAATAAAAATCCTTGTATTAATATAAAAAAGCTCTTAAATAAAGCCCTGGATATAATAAAATATGTAAATAATGTTTCAATTGAATTAATACTAATATATAATAATTTTGAGAATAACAAAATAATAAAATAACAAGAAAGCTTTCACTTGTAGAGCATTTATGCCTTACGGTAAATTGAAACAATTTTTTCTCACTACCTGACTGATTTTTTTTTTTTGTATAACCCTGATAAAAGGATTCGTCTGCCCGGCCTGCTGACAGGAGCTCGATGCGGTTTAATTAGTGCCACTGCCGGGGCGTGGCAATGCAGAGACATGCACTTTACCATCGGTCAGCAATGTGACAGCCGAAAGAGGAAAGCGGATAAATTAACAAACAAAAGCGGCGCCAAACTTAAAGGGGATTGGCATTGAAACACGTTTTCAATTAGCGCCACTTGCCGAGGACCGACGGCGAAGGCTAATAATGAGTTGACAAATGGCTTGTGTCAAACAAAAGCCGCGCGGAATAAACAAACAAACAGACAGACAAACTGGCACACAATCTCCACCGACAGACTGAACACGTCTTGTTGCCGGAGTGCGTGACTTTGGGTGGATGTAGGCAATTTACCGCCCACCGCCCAGCTGTCAACTTTGGCGACACTTATACACACCTCCCAGTAACACACAACAGACTCTTCAACCAAACAGAATTGTCAACTTACAAGGCTTGGTGGCTAAAGTGTCGCGTAATTTATTTTCCACCTCTCGTCGCCAACTGACAAATGAGCTGATAATTTTCCCCGTATCCTACCACTGTCAAGGACATGCTGGGGGAATGGTGGCAGTGCTGAGGCTAATTCATGGCCCCAGAATTGCCTAGTCATCGGAAGGCTTTGTCTAGCCGTTGACAGGAGAAATTAATTTGTGTTTGCCTGCCTGTTTGACACCCATGAGTTATTGACGAGAAATGCGGAAAACGGAATATGGAAATGCGAATAGATGAGCAGAAACTATGTCAGGGCATTCGAGATCAGTCTCAATGATGATTAAGATGGCCTATTAAATAGGTATAAGGGGATGTACATAGATAGTTAGTTAAGTTTATTAGTAATTTTAGGAAATTAGAAACTGATTGAAAGTCATTAAAAATATTATAGTTTATTAGTTTTTATTTATTTTTTCGAGAGAAAGTGCTCCATTGTAAACGGAAATTAACTAACTATATGCATTGACTAGATTATATAGTCCCATAAATTAGTTCTAACTCAAGAAAAACCATGTGCTTTAATAAAAAAATATATATAATTATTTATTATAATATATTATTATATAATATTTTATATAATAAATAAATGGGTAAACAAAACGATTAAAGATCGTTATACTTTTGAAGGCTACGAAACAGATATTTTTGGCACAGCAAAAGTTAATCAATAACATCTGTGTAAAGGCGATCAGACATATAATATATTGTATAAATTTGGAATTATAAACAATAAATATAAACATTGCTAGCCTACAACTGCAGGGGTATAATTCCATAATGCCAATCAAAATATATATTTGAATTATATTTTTAATCCTATATTATAATTTAGGGGGATTGTAAGAAATTTAAATTAATTAAATGTTGTGGCACTCCACAAATATCAACTAGGAACATTCAAGAGTACAATCAATTTGTTTTTACAATTAAGAAAAAGATTTCATAAATTTAAGGCAAGACACACTAAAATCCAAGTCAAGCCACCATAAATATAATTTGTTTATGTTTAATTATTCTATTTTTTTCAAATTAATGGTCTTAGGTTTCTAATTGCCTTCTTTATTGAAGGGCGTACTTGTTTTGCTAGTAAATGTTTGATAAAAACTGAACATTTGTTTTGCAAAAAGCCTTACACTTGAGCACATAGAATTCTTATAATTCTAATATCCCTTAAATCCCTGATGGTTGCCATTGGTACTTACAGTGAAATGCAAAGTTTATGGAAAAAAATGTAGCTAATGAAAATGTCATCCATCACCCCGTTTCATAAACATATTCCTCTCTGTACATATTTGTAGTTTATTCATTCCTTTATTTATTTAAAAACAAACATCTGTATATACGGCGCAAAACTTGTCGCAACAGTTGGGGTGTTTATGTGTGTTGATATTGATCTGCAGACACTCTTTTTGGGTACGACTTGGCAGTCTGAAAACATCTGTAAGAAAAAATTTATGTTTTGCGGTCAGAGTTAGTTTTTTGTTGTTTAAAGTTTAGTTTACGTACTTAGCTTGTTCTTAGCCCGACGGAAATTGTTAATGTTCTCGATTTCCTCCTTACAGGTGAGTACCCAGTTACAGGGTTTGTCCCACTCCGAGCAGGTAAAATCGCAGACGCACTGATGTTCCAGTTTCTTGCCCTTGCAGCAAGGACTCGTGTTCACCACCACGTCGCAGCCATTTACAGTGTTGGTTTTAGTTTGGCACTGCGAGCCCAACTCGAAGGCAACGCAAAGGAGCAGCAGAGTCAGCAGGATCTTGACAGCCATGTCGGACACTTCTCAGATGGTGTGGTGCGGCACTCAGCCCTTTTATAGTCTTCCCTAGCCGACAAGTGGGTTATTTTTAATTTTTAAATGAAACAGCTCCTTTCAACAGTTGTGTACACACACGAGAGATATGGGCCGTGGGCAGGGTATAAAAGCAGGCTGTTTAGCAGGGATCGTCTGAGTGCTCTGCTAGCAACATGGCCGCCATACGAATTCTGTTGATAACCCAATTCCTCGCCTGCCTGCTGGTATTGGTTTCGGCCTGCCTACCACCACCAGTTTCTGTTAAAAGCTGCGTTCCCTTTCTGGGTATAAGCAAATGTGTCAATCCGCATATTGTGGAGCCGAAACTGCCGCCCAGAGATAACGCTTGCTGTGGACCCCACTGCAGCTATAAGGCACTGGAGCCACCGGGATGCTGCAGTAACGACGTAACTGGAAGATGTCTCCTGGACACCCACTGCGGCGGCAACGTGGCCTTCTATTATACGAAGATCTCAGGCTGCAAGCTGCGCAGCATGAATGCAAACAGGCTAGCGAAGGGTCTTGCACGTGAGTGTATATTCAATGTGTTATATCCATCTGTTTCCTGTATTGTTTTTTTTTACAGGTTTGATATCATTCGACATGAACCAAAAAACTTGCGAGGCTCAGAATTTAAAGTGTGGTGTTAATTGCTGCTGCCGCGAGACCTGTCCCAAAAATTTCTGTAAAATTCAAACTGTAACTAAACCATTGTAAATAAAAATTTCCATTTTTGACCAAATTATAAAAGGGAAAAATGTATTTCTTTGAATAAAAGTTTAATTTTTAAATACAATATATTTGTTGTATCTAGATTGTCAATATAATATATTTTGTATCATTATCCGGCAAGCTTCCTTTTAAAACTAATTGGCCAAATAACCATTCAAGGATCTTAAGATAGATGTGCTTACCACGAATACTAAACTCTGAAATTAATATTAATGAATTAATACCATTCACATTTAAAATCTCCGGCCCTTATACCTCAGATGGGGCTTTGGTTAATGGCTGTCACTCCACTCTTAAGATACCAGACGTAGACTGTGTACATTTTACATGTCCTTATATCTCCACGTATATCAAGAGAGTTGTAAAAACTTTTTTGGGGCTGGCAGCTTAATGACATCCCGCCGGCAAACAGTACGTCACAAAATTAAAAGCCTTTCAGCTGACTTTGGAGACATATTCTTAATTAAAAGTAGAGACATTTAATATTTATAAATATTTAAATACATTTCTAAAGCTGTTGATAATATTTCAGTTTGTTTGATTATTTGAATTTAATTAAATAAGTAAAAAGTATTTTGAATAAGAAGTAAAGAACAAGTCTCTCTGAGCAACATCCGGAATACAAAACTAAAACAAAAAAAAGGTTTTTATCAAATGTGACAAACAACAGAATTATACATTTTTGAAATACTCTTTCAGTAACAAATCCTCTGGTTATAAATTATAATAATCATAATAATAATTAACGAACTGCTTAACAAGATTAAAATGATTCTTCGTTAATATATTATAAAAATATTAAAAATAATACCCTATCAACTGATAATAGTTCCCATGTCCTCTTTTAAATATAATTCAAAATAAATACATAAGTATTTTCTTATGCTATTTACTGGATAGAGTATAAATATAAGAACAAAACTTTATTATTATGAAATAAATCGAGCTTATCAGCAAGAACTCAGTGCTTGACTTTGCTTCAGCTTAGTTCTTCATGAATCAGTGTATTATAAACATTCGTTGTCAGCGGTTATAAACGCCCAGTCTAATGAAGTCTTTAACTTTTTTAATCTTTGCCATTATGGTCTCTGCCTCATGTGGAACCCTAGCAGCACCTAATGATGCTGCGTCTACGGTTTGCCTACTGCAGGATCCTGTAAATCAATGTGGAAAATTCTGCCTGACCGCTCTGAAGCCAATCATGGATCATATTTCCCTTCATCAGCAGCAGTGGAATACTCGTGATGCTGTCATTGTGAACGAAACTGAAGCGAAATTAAATAGAATTGAGGGACAGCTGGCGGCGCTGCAGATCACTCTGGGGACACTTCTTCCACAAGGTCTTGAGGCGAGACTGGAGAGTATGAAGAGTCAACAAACTGCCTTAGACAACAAATTGTTAGCCCTGCAAAAGACACTTTCCAACATCGAAAAGAAGATAGTTCTCCAGAATTTTAACCAGATTGGTTCTAAGCACTTCTACGTGGAGCAAAATCTTAAGAGGAATTGGACATCGGCTATAAGTACTTGTACTGAGATGGGTGGTCACTTGGCATCCATCGAAGATGGCAGTGAATTTAATGCGATCGTTTCAAAACTAAAAGCAGATGTTAGCTACAGAATTGATATAAACGATCGGGCTGAAAAGAGGAAGTTCGTCTCCAATACTTCGGGAAAACCAGCAGCGTTTTTGAAGTGGAAGCCAGGAGAACCAGATTATGCTCATGAAACTCAGCGCTGTGTGACCATTAATAATGGAGGCATGTGGGTCGACGGCTGCAACTCTGATATGTTATTCATTTGTCAAGCAAACGAAGAAGAATGATATTATAAAATAAAATATAAAAAACCTAAATAATATACATAAGTAATACATTATATATGTACATATTAATTCAGTTTTTGACATATTTGTATCTACCTTATATGATTTAAATATTAAATATAAATTGAACAGTCTAAAAAACATTTAAAACGTTTCTATTTTTCGACCTATTTCAGCGGCCTTACATTACCCGCAGGCACTGTTTCTGCGGCATATGCGAATGGGCTGCACTGCAATTTGGCTTTAATGCATTTTTAATTTGTGCATGCGTGTGCCTCCGCTTGCCTCTCTGTGTGTATTTATATATATATATATAATGTATATATGTTTATGCCTGTTTGTATGTAAATAGAAAATGAAATTACCGATGCGCTACTTTGTAGCCTCCTCCATTCTGCAGCGGCGGCATGAGAAGGCTGAGCGAATTCCGTTTATGACTATTTTATGCGAACTGCAAATTCTTTTGCACTTTATTTTCGGCGCAGCTTAACATGCAAATTATTATTTGCCCAGTTGTGTGCTGGGTGTGTGTGTTGCTGCAACATTGTGAGGGAATTTTATATGTGCGCCGGAGCCGTGTGCAGTCTCTTTTTACGGCCGGCTCCAGTTGGGGTGGCTCCATGCCCCCGACACACTTCAATTTTTAATTTGCCACAGTTTTTTTTTGTTATTTCTGTTTCGTTTACGCTGTTAATTATGTTACCCATTTGTTTGCTTTCAGCAGAAAATAGTTGAGAAAAAACCCAGTCCGTTAAAGATTAATCTTCATGTCTGCTGCGGGGCATTTAAAGTGGAAGCCAAACCAAAAAAAAAAAAAAGGTTATTCCACAGCATTGATTTTAGATTGGGTAGAAAAAGAATCAGTGATTAATAATTTCATTTGAATAAATATTGTTTTACTTGCAGCATTAAGCTTAAGGGTAAATGTCATGTTGGCTTTTCTTGATTCATTTCGTTTTTAATTTCCTTTTGCCACCACCTGAGATGGTTAGGAAACTGCTGTAGATTTATTGGAAATAAAATCACAGGAAATTGATATAAAAGCATAGAAATTATTTCTCTATTAAAAGTTGGATTTTTACCAAGGCTCTCACATCGGATATTGATGTCATTTTGTAATAGAAAAATAGTCTTTTGCTACCTTTTGGTCTTTGCAAGAAGAAAAAGGGGTAATTTTTAAGCCGGAAATGAGAAAATGGCTCTTTGACTTTGCTGTGGCCTATAGCAAAGTAATTAATTCTTAATTGATTGGTGGAAGAGCCGGCAAGCACTCCAATTTCTCACAGCCGGGATTATTATGCAAATTTGCAAATAGCAAGAACCCTTTGCCATTCTCTAGGTCTAGACAACATTGCCGGGGCCAGGGGCCCGGGGCCAAGTTAATGTCACGCACGGCAGCCAGACCGTTGCTGTAGCACTTTTAATGTCCTCATCGCTTTTACAAGTCAGCTAGCTGCATTTTACATGCATGTAACCGGGGTCTGTGTGTGTGCTCGAGTGTAAAATGGAAAATGAGTTCGCACTTTAGATTAAAATCTGTAAACACGAGCAACGGGATACGGGGTTGCACTTTGCCCAGATTGTGTTGGTTGCAGCGCGCTTAAGGCTTATCGCTTGGCATTCAATTAATCAGGGAAAAACTTCTTGAGGTGACGGCATCTTGATCGCTCTGCATGCTAAATAAAGTGGTTACGTTAAGTATACGACGTGTGTGGCTGGAGCTCAGGCAGGATTATGTAATTGTTATGTTAAATACATCAAATATAGTTTGCTTTAAAAAGTATATTCGTTTAAAAATCATTAAGAGCTTCTAGAAGAGCAAAATAAACTAAAACTTTTTTTTATTGTGTTCATGTTAGCTCACACCTGAGCTTGCTGAGTTTAAATTTAATTAAATTATTAAATATAATACATGCAAAATGCTCTTGTAGCCTTAGGTGTTTATAGTAGCTTAGCCTAATCCGTTATAAATCCATTAAAATAATCTATTTGTGTTGCGTATACGTTATTACGTATACGCAGTGTGTTCTTATTCCGCGTGACAAACTGAATCGTGTTGTCCTAATGGAGATAGAATGTCAATTAAGTGACGCAGCACAAAAGCGGAAACGGAAATGAACCCCAGTAAACCTTTTTGCCTCTGACCAAATGACAAATGCTTGTCATAAAGCGCTTAGCTTAAAGCACACCCGGAAAACATAGTATATAATAGGGAAGTGCAGAAAATGCCAGAAACAGCGGGACGAGCTGTAGTGGCAAGTGCGAACATATTTCAATTGTACTGAGAGCTGGCAGCGCAGTTTTATAAATTAATAACAATAATTTATGCAGCAGCAACTACAGCACTCATAATAAATTCAGTGAAACTTTTCGTACATACTCAGGGGGCAGTAGGAAAACAACAACAGCAACAACAGCAACATCTCTATTCGGAAGCAAGTTGCATTTGAAGCCTTACAGGCAGCTTGGCAATTCTCATCAGCTGTGCCACTGCCACGGCCTCGGGCCGGGAAAAGAACTATAACTATGCATGTAAATTTATAACCCAGACCCCCGAACGCCGGGCCAGCTTCAATGGGGACTCTGAAGAGCGACACAGCCCAACAAACAGAGGGAGAAAAAAATGAAAACCAAACCGAACAGAACTTGTTTATGAAACAAGTCCAGGCGAGAAGTTGAGAGTATGTGTGTGTGCTGTGTGCCGCAGCCAAGAAGGGTGGTGACATTGGCACACTCGCCGAAAATGCATGAATTTAGATATTAATAAATAAAATTCAAGAGGGTTAAGGGTTTTTACAGCGGGGACTAATATTTAGCAGCCAGAAATATCTGATTGCATTGCCTGAAAAATACTACGGTTTACCATTTAAGATGTCCACTAAGGATTTTAGTATCCTCCTTTTGTTAAAGCTCTAAAATATTTCCATAACTACTATTTTAGCCACTAGTAAATATTTTCTTGTAGTGATCAAGTAGTACATTTTTTTCTCTGCCACTATTCCTGGGTGCTGCTGGCACAATAACAACACGTAAATCTGGCAGCAGCTGACAAGTACAGAAATTTAGCTTGTTACGCTACCCAAAAACGCAATCACATAGCTCAAAAATTGTTATGCTCAGCTTCGGGATTGGAGAGGCGGCAAGCCAAGGAGCAAGGAGCGGCGGGGCGAAGGACATTCCCCTGAAGGCATTGAAATATTAATGCTAATGGCTAGAAGGAAGCACATTTCCTTGGCGTTGGGCAATCGCCTGATTGTATTGCTTGCCGAACTTTGGGTGTTTGGACGAAAACTCGAAAGGACGAACTGGCAGCAGGCGATGAGTTTTCCCAATAAATTAATGAAAATGCAAAAAGCCCTTGCAACAAGCAATTTTTGCTTGGCAACAGGAAGAGGGTGAAAAAATCCGACAATAATGCCGACCAGCTTGGTTGTTGCTTTGGAATTTTGTGCTTAAGCAGTCGATATTGCAACGAAATCAGGATCCATCGAGATGATAAGGTTCAGTTAAGAAGTAAAGAAATAGAGGTTTCAAACTAGACTTTTAGTTTAATCCTCTTTCCAGGGAAAAACAAATGCTTTGAACCACAAAATCCCGTAGCATATTGACAGCTTTAAGGCTTAGATGCACTCCACTCTGGCTGGACTTACACTGACCGACCGCACTGTCACGTGCGAGAAACACGTTCCGCATCTTACGCGCTAAGAGCCAACGGAAAGTGGAGGGAGTCAGTACATTTAAGAGGACTTACTTACCGAAGGAGTGTGGCCAAAAAATAAAAATAAAATACCTGCTCTTGCCCAACAGAATGTTGCATAATTTCAACGTTTTTTTTTTTTTTTTTTTGGGATGGAGGTGTACGTAATTGAATCGTAATGCAGCCATGAAATTTTTATTATTTTGTTGTTATAAAATTCAAACTCTGCTGCCTGCTGCTGCTGCCGCTGTGGAAATTAGCATAATTTTACAACTGCCTTGAGAATTTGTCAGCCCAAGGAACTGCCACAAAAATGTAAGAGAGCATCTGTGAGGGAATCTGCCTCCAGATGTCTCCAGAACAGTGCTGGCAAATCGAAAGTGGGATTAAAATAAAGGTAAATAGGTAAGCTATCAAGATTTTTTAGTAACTTAGCTTATACTTAAGTACGTATTGTGATTTGTTTATGAAGTTCCTTTAATATTTCTCCCAAAATTGGCACGATCTATTGCACATTGTAACCCAATCTTGGCAGCCCACTTTTGGCTGGAAAATATCCAAGGTGGTAACGCAGCTGGAAAAGACATCAAACTGCGTTCGAAACTTTTTGCCCTTCGCAACAGAAACTTGCACAGCTGCTACTTGCTACTTGCATCCCTCCACGGCCTTAGTCATGTGAAAATGTCCCCCTTTTTTGTCTTTTGCCGTTGCTGTCGTCCAGGTTTTTTGTTACCTTATCCTTGAGCAGTCGTGGCATCTCTGCCACGTCACAAGGTGTGTGAAAGTTTGGCACAAAAAGTTTGCCAACAGTAGAGGGCAAAGATAGAAAAAAAGGTAATGCAGGTCCGCTTAATGCAAGTCCTGGATGATTTTAATGAGCTTTTCCTCCTGGCAGAGAGTCAAAGTTTTGGCAATAATTAGCGCGGGCTAAAAAATCCAAATTGCCTGTTTCGAATAGCAAGCCAAGGTAAATATTAGTGCATCCTTGGGTAAATATTAATACTAGTACCTGTAAACACTGTGTCACTCCTAGAGCCCCCAGTGTCTGGCCATGCATGAATAGGTCATGTCTTTGAGGGCTTTATTAAACATTTTATTAACATCGTTTAGATAATCTCCCTTCTGGCCCAAAGAACTTTCCGCAAGTTGCCAACAGAAATTAACAAGTGCCGTTGCGACGTCGACGGTGATTATGATTATGAATGGGAGAGCGGAGCCTTTTCGGAGGCAGGCAATCTTTGTCTAATACTCGCGTAGCTGGTAGGACGAAGCCTTGGCCAAGTTTGCACTGGAACGTGGCCCA